AGGTATAATAAAATCAGACTTTTGCCTGGTATCTTTTAACTTAACAGAGAGAAAAGCCATTTATACGGAAGGTCACATGAGCAGTCTGTAGCCAGTCAGTCTGCTGTTTCATAGTGTGGAACAGAGCTGAGATGTCTTCAATAGGAACATTCTGGAAAATATTATTAATATGAGAATCACGGTGGGTATTGTTGGTTTGTTTTATTCAGTAGTTCAACACCTCATGCAAGGGAACTTCAGCCTGAGCCAACAAAATATAAAAAAAAATCAGTATAGCTGCACCTGAGCCTGCAGCATTGTGTTGACCTTGATGAATTTTTATTTAGGGTGAGTTTGGATATTTGACGTCTAGTAATTAGACTGATTGTGCTTTCTTAATGTTTGTATAGTTCCAGCCTGAAATTTTGACTTCCCTACAGTGCTTGGAAAGGAAATGTGTCTCAGAAACATTCATACATTGCAGGCGTCTTTGCTGCCTGGAAGCAGAGAGCATATCTCCGCTGGGGATCAGGGCTGCCCACAGGCAGATCTCAGCTGCTGGCCAACAGACCAGAGCGGAGCAGCGGAGCAGCGCTGGTGTTAATCCCACCAAATTGATCTCAATTGTTTTGCACTTCTCTGGCTCTCCCCTGGACAAAGTGCCCAGATGCAAAAAATAGAGAAAGAGGTTGTGAAGTACAAGGAAACGTTATGATCACCGGTATATGCCCCTGAGCAGCAGTGTGCAGTCATGGCTACATCTGAATGAGGGTGAATGTCCTTCATTTCCAACCGCTTGAGCAGAGACGGTTAGGACTTCACAGCAGTTACTTAGAATGTTAACACAGAGAGAAGTCCTCTCTTCCCTTCTACCTCTTGTGCTAATACTAAGGCTGTTGTAAAATACTTTCAGTAGAATAAATCATTCCATCTCATATCCAAATTCTTTCTAAATGTGTCTGCTTGCTAACTCTCAAACTCAGTTTCAAAATGAAGACAAGAAAAATCTGTGGTTTGTCTATAGGTCTCAAAGGGATAAGCATCCTTGCAGCTCTGCGTATAAAATTAGGTCCAGTTATACTGAGGAAATTGGGTTTATTCTATCCCAGCAGAAGAAATTCATTGAGAAAGACTGATGTGCAAAGACTTTCGTTTCCTATCTGTCTGCTGGAGTAGCACTGATGATTTTATGTAGTATATGTGAGTTGCATTAAGAGATGAACAGGTAGCGTTAGCGGTAGATCACCTGTTGTATTCTCACCTACTGAATACTTTCTTTCTGCAGCACAGAATGTATCTTCTATCCATTCCAGACATGGCTGAAATTCCAAGACGAACAAAGGGATGCTAGCCAGTATTATAATGGATAGTACCCTGAGATACTTATCCTTCACTGTCGAGGAGTTAGACTGGATGATCTAATAGGCAATTTCCATCCGTAATGTCTGTGATTCTTCTAACTGAAAGGCAGCTTGGGATGCGGCAGTTACAATTTCTAATTATTATTTAGCTCTGCTTTATTTCTTCAGAGTGTTTGCATTGTTGTTGCCATGAAATAGTATGGAGTAAAATTCTTAGTCTGAATGTTATTTATTAAATCAGGGCATTTTATGTGATGCGGACAAGTATTTCTCTGTGAATAGTAATCCAGTTTGCATGAACTGTGGAGCAGAATGGTCTCAGGTTTAGGTGCAAGGTGGTGCTGAGCTCAGGCGCTGGGCTCGTGCCTGGTCCTGGCAGGATCATCGTGAGCTGTTGCAAGGCAGCTTGTTTTGCCTTCAGCTGTCAGTCATCCCACTCTGGATCCCCAGACAGTCACCTCCTGGGGATTCTGCATCTTCCCGTCTTGATACCAAATCTGGTGGTAGTCATGGAGGTCTGCAAGCATTTGGTGCCTTTGTCTAAAGCACAGACCTCTGGAATCACGAAGCTGGTTTTCATGAAGAAAAAACACATTTTTAGCTTGTACAATTACAGAGAAAAAAATGGGTGCACCCTAAAGATTCAGAAGCTAGAGAGTAAAAATTTTTTTTCCTGATTATGTAATCCAAAGCACTATTAAACCCTGAAAGATTTTTTTTTTTTTTTTAATTTTCAAATAGTTGCTTATGTTTGGCCCTCTGCTTCTCTGTTTCTTATTTCTGTCTGTGCCCTTTCATTCCATTTTTTGGCTACTGGGAAGGGGACAGGGAGGGATCCTGGCTGTGCAAGACCTGCAAGGACCTGTTAGGGAGCCTTCCTCCTTTCTACGTCATCAGTAAATTGTGGGATGCCAAAGGAGCCTTTCTTTTAGTTTTCAGTTCTTCTTTTCCCTAGCTGCAGCAATTTCAGTGCTTATCTCCCCACTTCTGGCATTTGGGAATGCTGATAAATGTTTGTCTTCAGCTGGAGCCTTGAATCTGTGTTTATGGCCTCTTTAACATCAGTATTCTGGTGACCAGAAGGACAGGGAAAGAACAGTTTTCCACTGCTTTCATGATCATGGGGTAAATATTAAAAAAACCCAGACTGGATGTGAAAATTACTTTTTTCCTGTTTGTTTCCTTCCAGATGGGCCAGGTGCATGCCTGCTCATGTGTTCTTAAGAGATCTGTAATCACCTATGCACAAAGACTTGACTAAAATTGGTTCTGAAACATGAAAAAAGAAGTGTTTTTCATTAATGAACGATCACCAGCAGTGAGGCCGACAATTAAAGTCATACACATCTGCTGAGTTACTGATTGAACACTCCAAATCTGAAGCATGTAAAACTTTCAACATCAAAGTGCTGATTTGGCTGAGGTCTGTGGTAGCTTGCCTCTCCCGTGTGCAGAAGTGCAGATTCCTCTAGGAAGGACTTCGCAGCTCCCCAGGGCACGAGAGTCTGGAGGAGCCCCCTGACCCGACAGACTTCCTTGAAGAAATTCTGATAGAAGCAAAGTGGTTTCTAGCTGAGCCTATTATGCTCTTCAGTGCTTCAACTTTCATGTTTAAAATTTTAAGCACTCAAGTTTTTTAAGAGCATGACTGCTGAAGCACTTCTGAGGCTCAGCTAGAAGCCACTTAGCTTTTGCCAGGAGGAATCTTTGAAGCATTGTTAGGGTTAAGCAGAAACTATACCTGGCTGCTCTCTTTGCTTGGACCTCCCTGTTTCCACACAGTCCCTGTCTTCTCTAATTCTGTCTGGTTGTCTCAGGATGCAGAAGGAATCACATGGAGAATTTGAAACTGCATTCATATAAATTTAGACCGAGTCATTTGGGATACTGTGTGCAGTTCTGTCACCTCAGGGTGGGGTTTGTCTGTCCTTAAACATTTAAAAGATGTCGAAGTCTAAAGCAATCACTCACTATCTTTTCTAGACAGAAGAAAGAAATAAGTATTTCTAAAGACTGAGTCCTCAGGCATGTATCAGATGCCAACTGTAGGATGAAATGAATCACTTTGGGTGCCTACAGTTGGGCAGATGAGCCCTACTGTTTATTTCTGAAGGTGTTGCAATCAATTGAAAGACATTTCAGAGGCAACAGAAAATGGCTAGGGAATAGGCTAAAGTCTCTTTCCTCTGAGAGGAGATTGGATAGCTTACATTTGATTGCCTTAGGAAAGACATTTATAACAAGGGATGCAATTAAAGTGGAAGTCCTCTCCCCTTTGCCTCCAAAACCGGAGGCAATGAAGTTAAAAGAAGGCAAAATTAAATTCAGAAAAAAAGTGCAATTTTGGACACAATCTTTAAACTGGAATTCTTTTTCAAAGGAAGTTGTCTGAGATAAAAACCATGGAATACTTAAAAATCATTTAGACAAATGTCTCCATAAAGATTTTCTCCAGTTAGTCTTAAAAGTGCTTTTGAAGAGTGATTACTCCTCTAGCTTCAGGTCTTGAACCAGCTTCGCACTACTAGAGAGCCAAGTGAGGTCTAGCAAGAAGGGCAGATTTCTCTACAAGTGCATCCTGCAAACAGTGGTGGCTGGCAGAGTCACAGCAGCTGTCATGGCAGGGCTGCTGTGGCCAGGATCGCTGCCTGCTGCTGTACAACGGCAGTGGGCTTTGGTTGCAGCGCTGGGTTGCCAGATGGAAGAGCTGTAGGAGACAGTGAGCAGGCTGTATGCATCAGGCAGGATGGACAGGTCTTTCCAGAGGCGCCTGCAGAGCCAGGAACCTGGGCCTGGTGTTGCAAGGATGGAGGGGAAAATAGAGATAACCCTTGAGGGTCAAGGGTGGAAACTCCTCAGGTGGAGGAGGCTGGAGGTTTGTTACTTCTGACAACACAAGTAAGGCCCCTTTTACACTTAAGGTTCAGCAGTTACAGAGCAGATACAGTGGCCTGGAAAAAGGTGGGATGAGGCATCAGAGCCAGCTGAGCCTCAACCCTTAGAGGCTTCAAGAAAAGGAGGATGGTAGGTGTCAGAAGCTCTCTCCTGAGGAGACAGAGGCACACATCTGCCAGCCTGCCTTGCTGCCTCAGGAGGTTTGCTGCTTGCTAAGAGCCTGGACATGGTGTTGCAAAGAGGCTGCCAAAGCTCTTTTGTCTGTTGGACTATGACCCCTGCTGCTCATCCATGTAGGCACCAACCATACAACCCGGGGACACCTTGAGTATATCAGGGGTGACTACACAGCTCTGAGTGCAAAGGGTGTGGGTGCCGAACTGGTGTCTCAATCCTGCTGGTGAGGGGAAAGTCTCTGGTTGGAGCGGACACGTCTAGTGAGGACAGCCCCTGGCTGTGCGGCTGGTGTTGCTGGCAGGGCTGGGGTCTCCATGGTGCACTCTCTGAGGAGCAAGGATTGCTGCGCACGAATGGCATTCACCTGACAAAGTGAGGTGAGGATGTCTTTGCTAACAGGCTTCACAACCTTGTGAGGAGGGCTTTGAACTATGCTTGTCAGGGAGGGGGTATCATTCTCTGAAGGGAAGGGGGAGCGGTGAAGAAGTATCATAGGAGCAACAAGATGGAAGAGGCTCTTATGCTCACCTCATGAAAGCACCACAACCGGGAGCCCATCTCAAGTGCCTGTGCCCAAATGCAGTCAGCATGGGGAGCAACCAGGTGGCATTAGACAGTCCACTGAGCTTGGACCTCCTGTGGGATTGCACACATCCTTGTGTGGAATGGCTTTCAGGATGGGTGTGCTGCAGGAGATGGACACAGGCTCTTCAGGAAGGACAGGCTGGGAAGGTGAGGAGCAGGAGCTTCACTCTATGCAAAGATGTGACAGCAGTGTGTAGGCAGTTGCCTTTGGACGGACCAAGCTGGCCCAGAATGTGAGGGTGAGGAACAGAGGGCAGATGAGCAGGGGTGGTGTGGTGGTACATCTGCTACACACTGGCTGATCAAGAAGTGAAAGCAGAGGAAACCTTTAGACAGGTGGATGAAGCCTCAAAATGGCAGGTCTTCGTACTCATGGGGGACTTCAGCCAACCCAAAATCTACTAGAAGGGCAATAGGTCTGAGCACAAGCAATGCAGGAGATTTTTTTGGAGTGTGCTGAAAACAATTTCTTAATGCAGGTGATCAATGAACTGACAAGGGGGGGGATACTCTGCTGGAGCTATTGTGCACAAACAAGGAAGAACTGGTTGAAGGTATGAAGGCTGAGGGCAGCCCTGGGTACAGTGATTATGAGGTGCTGGAGTTCAAAACACTGAGAGAAGTGGGAAAGACAAATAAGTGGAATCACAACCTCACACTTCCGGAGAGAGGATTTTGGCTTCTTCATAGATCGTCTTGGCAGGATCCAGTGGGCAACTAGCCTGTGGGTTAAATCGACACAAGAAGCTTTGACCTTCTGACCCTTTGACAGCCTCCTCAAAGTGTAAGAACAGTTCATTATGATATGCAGAAAGTCAAGCAAGCATGGAAGAAGGATAGTATGGTTGAACAGGGACCTCAGCACAGAGCTCAAATGCAAAAAGAAGCTGGAAGCAGGGATGGGATGCCCTGGAGGGCTATTGACGCATTACCTGAGTATGCAGGGATGGAGACAGGAAAGTCTCCCAGTTATGGCAATCAGGGTAGGTACTCGATGACTAAAAAAAGGCAAATGTCGCACTCAGCATCAAGAAGGACAAGGAGGATCCAGGGAACTACAGACCAGTCAGCCTGACCTCAGTACTTGGGCAGGTTATGGAGCAAATCCTTCTGGAAGTCTTTTCTTAGCACAAAAAATGTGATCTCTTCTACCTTATATTTCACCATTCCAGATGGAGCTTGCATATGAACTGATATGACAATTCTTGGATTAATTTACAGTTAACAATAGTAATACTGACATTTCTTAATTTGAGTTGCCCTGAGAAACGTGAACTGATGTGATTATTCCTTTTGGAATGCGTACCAAATATTAGTAAATCATTGTAATAAAAATAAATTGTTAAAATTTACTATTTTAGGTAATAATTGCTATTTTACATTCATATTAAATCTTTCATTCTAAGTGGTCATGAAGCTTTTAAACCTCTGCAGTACAGAAGTGGCACTGGGTACCTGCATGACATAGATATACATTGTGGTAGAAGAGGTTTATTGTTACAGACTATCTCCCCGAATGGCAGAAGCTGTGTTTCGTGGAGATGCTACTAGAAGAAGGTTTAGCTGTTTTGCCTCCATCCAGTCTTGCCACTGGATGCAGAATAGAGGTGGAAATGTTTTCCTGCCCACTCTCTCTCTCTCACAGGCACTGCATGGTCAGTAGTGGAAGAAGTGGCGCACCGTGCTGCCCTTGTAGGTAGCTGTAGGCTGGTGTCGTATCTCTTCTCTCCATTTTGTTTAGTCATGGCCATAGTTACAGAATTACGTCTATAGGAAAATGACATTCCCCAGTGATGAAAGACAGCAAACTGAGACGGTGAGCACAATGGCTTTTTAACCATGCATGGTGACATGCCGTAATAATTCTTGTCAGAAATGAAGAAAGACTTTGTGACTCCTCAGGTCAGTTTTCATACTGGCTATGAGCACATTACACAGAGCTCTGTTCATGACCAGTGTTTTAACCATAAATCCTGGGTTTTGTCTGTACTTAATTTCTAAGATTTTTTAGGAGATGCCAGGGAAAATGAGTACGAGTTCATGGGATTGTATAAAATTTTCTGACAACGGCTAGGCAGATGATTTAGCTTTCAGAAGAGAGAGTTAACAGTACATGAGCTTTTTTTTTTTTCCCTTTTTCCATTCAGTACTGCAGGAGGAGGGAGGTGTATTGATGAAATAAGTTCAGGACTTGGAGATTTCTTATATGGTCACATCCTGAAGTATTCAGAAGGATTTTTCCCTGGGTAAGGAGCACAACATCTGTGTGTTAGGCGTAAGAAAGCCAAAGCCAATCCATGGAGGACTGCTCAGGTGTCATAAGCTGCAAAACTTCCTGAGAAGATAAAAAGCTGCTTTCGTTCATCTCTGCTGTGATACCAGGCATTGCTGCCTTCCATACACTTGCTGTGAAAACACTTTTGGAGAACCGGAAGGGTGATTTAATTTAACAATCAGACATTTCTACCATTCCCCACTTCATGTCAAAGGAGGTTGCTGGTGGAGTACGGGTCTTCTGTGTGTAAGGAGTGAGGCTGAGGGAAACACTCTGGAGGTGGGAGGTGGCAGCTGTCTGGACCTCTTTGCTTGAAGCCATTTTGCTTTGCCTAGTTGCTAGAGTGGGAAAATACATCTTTTCTGTATGAGAAGAATGGATTTTTCTGCCTGCTGAGCGTGGAAGGCCTCTAAATCTCTGTGAGAATATGCTACGCAATATATTTGTAGCCCATCAGGCCTAAAGAGTTCAACACCTGCTGTACCAATGAGAATGTTTTTTGTATATGTGATGGTTTCATTTATTGTGTTTTGCAAAAGAACATATAACTTTTAATGCCTTTTAGCACAGTAAACTTAGCTCCCACATAGTAGAAATTACCTGATACAGAATTAAAAAAAAAACCCCTTCTTTCAAGGTTTACGTCTATTTTGAGCTTATTTTTGTATAAGTGTATGCATTTCTCCACATTTGTATTCAAAAGGGTAGACACATTCTTATAGTTTGGTATTAAAAAAGAAATTTTTACAATTGCAAAAACCTAGTGTAGTTTGGTATAGACTTTTTCATGCCTGCCGTCATCAAAACAGATACCTCCTTCTGCAAACTCATGGGCAGCAGTAGGAAGAAAATGCAGCTCTTGAACTGCTAAATCTGTACAGCATTAAGCAAAATCTGAGACTTTCAAAGATGATGGTGGTTTTAGAATGCAGTTCCTCCAATTAAGGGACATTGGAACTATTACTTTCCAAAACAATTAGATGTCTTTTCCAGAAGGTAGGGAAATACCAAATATCTCTAAAATATGAGTGTTTGCTACTGCAAGCCTGATCAAAATATCCCTGTGTGCTGCTGATGCAGAAGGAAGTCTTATAAATCCCAGTTGTGTACCTTTGACTGGCCTCTGGCACCAGGACAGAATGGACAGGTGAAAAACCTCAGATTTGGTACAAACCAGTCATTATGGAAGAATGATGTTTTGCCATAAGTGACTTGGAAAATTCCAAAGACAGTGACGTGGACTCCACCTTTGCTTTATTTACCCAAAGTGTTCTCATCAATTAATTCAAAATAATAGAATAGCAGCAACAGCAGTAGTAGTGAGGAAAATAAACATAAATATGTACATGTGTATTTTGGTGAACACTGTAGTATTAGTAATAAAGCTAATAAACATATACACTTACGTAGTTTGGTGAACTGCTGTTAAAATGAAATAGCATATAAACTCTTGAAACATATGATTTTCTTTTGACGAATTTGAGTTTCCTGCTAATTTTAAAGATGACTGTAGAGTCATAGCTTGTCAGGAAAGTAAGACAAAATAAATTGTGTCTTTATAATATTCTTTAGTACAAAATGCTCTAAGGAGCATACAAAGTTTAAAAACCCAATGCCTTCTTCTGGTGATACTTTAACCACAAAATAATAGCATTTTCTTGCAACTATTTTAAATTAAGTATTTCAAAATAATGTGATAAGTAGTGGGTGATATCTTTTTTGAGAGCTAGTAGTGAAGTGGCTCCTTTGCTATGCACAACTAGTCTTGTAAGCAGTATTAATTATGACACATTATAAAATTCCTTCCTATTTAAATGGTGAAGTAAGATATAAGGAATGGATAATATTTCATAGCCATTGCTATGATGGGCACCTAGCAGGTAGGAGATGAGTAGGAGTAAAACTGGTGAAAAATAGTGTGTTAAAAGAGAATGTTAATTAAACTGTACTTTCCTAATCTTATGATTTTTTTTTTATTATTATTCTTCCATAGCCTCAGACCATTCGGCAAACTCTTCAAAGGACACTGCAGTATTTTGAGCACCAAGTTATTGGGTAAGTGTTAATCTGAGGTAGTGCAAGGTACACGGTAATGTTTTTTGCTATGCTTCCCAAGTCACAGCCTTGTTTGACAAGTGTCTTGATTTTTCTCACAAATTCTTAGAGATGCTCTGAAGTAACTATATGTACTACGGACATTAATGATAAACAGATGTCCTGCTTCCATGCTATTCCATCACAGTATGACTACTCCGTTAGCAGTAATGTTTCCTATATAAGGAGAACAGGGAATCTTTTTGGGAAAGTATAAGATCTATTCCAATTTGCTTTTCACAGAGCCAAGAATGCTGGCAAAGTTATTTATGCTATGACCTGAGGTCCAAATCTTGCATCTTGCATCAGTGCTTGTTACATACACACACTGTTACATACTTGCAGGTTTTTGCAGAAGCAGAGCTGAAAGTGACCTCCTAAGAGTTCATTGCGAAACTTAATAGATCTCTGAGGAATGAAGAGAAAGTAATAGCGACTATCATCATGAAAACCTAAGACATTCTCCCACTGATTAAAATAATGCCCTTTCAAACTTTTCCTTACCTGCACTAGTATTTTCCTTAGCTGTGCAAGTATTTTATTGTCGCAGATGACTTACTTTTCCTAAGAGAGTCATAATACAATGACTGCATGTCTATAGCCATTAAATGGCTGTGCCATATGACAAATGAAAGATGCTTTCTTCTGAATTTAATTACACAGATGTAAGGGAAATTTTTTTCAAGCTGTGTTGAGGGTCTTTTTAGAATTTATGACATAGTTTCCAAGCTGGGTGCACTGGAGGGAATTGTCCTTGCCTATTTCTCAACATTTGGTTGAAATTCAGAGGGAGCGCTAGCTTGGCGAGGGATACGTGCAGTACCAGCAGTGTGACTGGCCCTGAGGGCAGCGACGGGGCCAGGCTCGGCAGGTAGCTGTGATGTCCGCCGCGGGGCGGGCAGGGGGAAGAAGCCTTCTGGCTGCTGATTTTTTCAGTTGCTGAAAAAATTGCTTGAAGTCTCATGTTAGGAGACTTCAGAGGATGAGACAGTGCCTTGAGGAAAACATGTGCAAATAATAATGCCACTTTTTATTTATGGCCACATGTGGCTTAGATGTGCTTTTTTTTAACAGACAAAGTTTAAAACAAGGACACTCTGAAAACCTGTCGTTCCTGTGACTTGTGGTACACCGAGTCAGTTTTTTGAACATCAGTATGAGTTTGTTGAAGTACCATCTGTCTCAAGCGGATGTCCTATGATTGTCCTGCCCCATGATGTCTACTGTCAGTGCACACTGTGGTGGGCTGCCAGACCCCCACCCAGCCGCTCCGCTCTCTCGCTTCGCCCCATCAACAGGACGGGGTGGAAATAGGATGAACAAAGTGGGTCGAGATAAAAGATGCTCGTGACTCCTCTACCTCCTTTTGCCCCAAGCAGCACAGAGGGATGGGAGTGGAGGTTGTGGCCAGTCCATCACAGCTCCTCTCGGCTGCTCCTTCCTCCTCACGCTTTTCCCCTGCTCTTTGTGGGCTGTCCATGGGCTGCAGCTTCCTTCAGGGCATGTCTCGCTCCACTGTGGTCCTCCATGGACACCCTGCTTCCCCATGGTCTTCTCCATGGGCTGCAGGGGAATTTCCGCTGCAGGGAAATTTCCACTGCAGCATCTGGAGCATCTGCTCCCCCTTTGCTGACCTTGATGTTCGCAGGGCTGTTTCTCTCACTCCTCCTCACCCCTCACACGACCATGAGGTGTTTTGCCCTTTCTCCAATACATTTTTCCAGAGGTACCACCCACTTGGCTGCAGGGCGCAGCCATGCCCTGCTGTGGGAGCGTCCGAGCCGACTGGAAGAGGCTGTGGAGTCGTCTTCTCACAGCGTCCCCAGCCCTCCCCCGCCAGCACCTGGGTGCTGACACCCAACATAATATAAATGTTCATTAAATCTCCCGTCCCAGGCAAGATAAGAGGTGAGCAGCGGCTGCGGTGTCATTCAGGGAGTCGGTGACACTGGCTGGTGGTGGGGTTGGGCCGTGACTGGGTTCTGGGCTGGTGCATGGCCTGGCATCGCTGGAGACCTGGAAAGCCACAGAGAGCATGCAGCTCACTGTGTGCACCAGCAGCCCCTTCCAGTGGGGCTTCCTTGTCTAGTATGAACCCACTCTTCCCAACGTGCTTTACTCCACGTGGAGAACCAGCTTCCCTCTTGGGGGTAACCTGGTGTGCGGCTCTGAGTCCTCTGCAGTCCTTTTCCACAGGTGCTGGGATTTTGCAGGCACTAAGCAGATGCAGAGTCCAATCCCTAAAACAGCTATTCGTGATTTATGAAGTATAAACAAAGTACGAAAGCATAACAAAGCTATTAATGAAATACTCATTAGATGAGCTTTTCTCTGCGCCTTGACATAAATCGTGTATTTTGCCAAGTCTGTTATCACTCTGCTGCAATATTTTCTTCACTTGTATTCCCCCTTCTGTCGTCATTATCACCAGCATAAAGCTTTGTTTTAAACATAGTTTGAGCTTCTGTTTTGTTTCTGTTGCGTTAAGAAAAAACAATCCAGCAAAGCTAAATCAAATAGAATAATTTAGGTGGTAGCTGTTTTCTTGCTGGTCGGACCATAGCTCTGTGCATTTCGTCATTGATGGGATCCTTTTAAAGTTTTCTTTAACAGGTTATAGCACAAACTTAAATCTTGATAACATAATGAGTTGCAGCTGGACATCCTTCTTACTGCTGAGATCTTTTCAGAAGATAATCCACAGAGAAAGCTAGGTTTTATACTTGCAGTGCTAATGTAATGTGCTGTGGAAGATTTGTTCTTCTTATTAGATACTCACCATTGCCTCATAAACATCTTGCTTGGAGTTTACTGTACAACTTTGTTATAGACAACACCCCAGTGGGAATGATGTATAAGAGTTACGTCTGATACCCTTTCTTATGCCTCAGCCCTTTGGTACTATTTTTTTTCTTATGTCTTCATTTTCATTACAGTTAATACTCCAGATGCTGGTATAGTACTTGAGATACCCAGGCTACTAATGCGGTGTCATCTATGTGTCATAATGCATGAGTGGAAAGAGGGTGATGGAGGGGAGAAGAGGGAAGAGACAAAGGAGGCTAAAGGCATCCTTTACCACCACTTCTGAAAGGCACTTGTCAACCTTGCATTTGTATAAGGATATACTATAATGTTTTTATTTTTTTTACTGTAGTTACAGGGATGCAGAGAAGAACTTTCACAATATATCAAAAAGATGCTCCTACACAGACTGCTCTGGCAATGAAGAAACTGAAGATGTCTCAGGAATTCTCCAGTGTACGGCTAATGTACTTGGTATGTATTTTTTCAAGGGAATTTGTTTCCGTTAGTTGGAAGGAAAGTTTACTGACCATTTTAATACCAACAATGAACTAAGGAATTTTTGCTCCAACAAAGGATGTAGGCAGCTACATATCAGTGCACTGTTACTACATTTGTCTTCTTTTCTAAATATATTTTGCGCCTTTGAGACAATGCAGACTGATTTTTCAGTGGAGTCAGTGGAGGTGTGTTGTGTAATACTCAGGTTGATGCCAGTGATTAGAGAAGTTTCAGAGGATTTGAGTCCAAATGGACTTGCATCTGTGCAGGCCTTGGTCTTGGAATTATCTCAAGTGGTTTCATAGGGGTTCTACAGAACAACAGATACCTTTATCGTCTATGGGCCTGGTGTATAGAGGGTCTGAGAAACACAGAACAGGATGTACGTGAGACATGCAACATTCTGGAAACTTCGATTCATATTGAAGAATGCTTGCTGCAGTAAACCTACAGGAATGTTACACGTCAAGATGGTGTCATCCATCTCTGAAGTGCAATTGTCTTAATAGGTGTCAAAATTTAGATAGCTGACTATTTGCATCTGTTCATGTGATTTATCCAGCTTATTCTCCTTCCCAGGTTGTTGGTAAGCTTTACTGCTTTTTAGTCAGACCTGTGCTGTGATATAAATCTATCATAAAAGGGAAAAAAAAAAGGTGCAGATCTTAACACTAAGAACTTAATATTTTGACTGGGAGTTTTTAACTATTTCACTTCTGTGAAACTGATGATCTTCCTTGTTTTAGAGTAAACGTTACAGATTGAGCTTTAACCATTGGGCAGTTGTCTGCATTTTACAGGGAACTGTAAGGGTGAATTAGTAGCTGCTTTTAAAGATAATTGTTTTAAAGCAGTAATTCCTGATATATGTGTGATAGTCATCTGCGGTGTAGCAAAGCTGATGTTACACAGCTCTACTTCCAAGACAGTAACAACTGACAATAACTCTTGAAGTATGTTCTAAGACATGAAGTGTTCTTATATATCAATTATATGCAATTATGCCATCTACTAGCAAGAAAGTAATACCAAAGTGGTCATGTTGGTTGGTGTGAGTTTATTATGTGTATTTGGGCTCAGACCTGAGGTCAAGTAACCACAGCTCACCCACTTGCAGCACAGTGGCTGAACTGTTGCAGCTGTCCATGTTCCTGCTGCTATCTGGCATTGGCTGTGGAGCACTGTCATTTGCCATCTGCTGCTTGCATGGAAGTCTGCAAATGGAGAGTTGTTGCAGTCATTTCTCTGTGGGAAAGGCCTTGGGGGGTGGCCAGCAAGAGGGACATGGGCCATCGGCGAGTCCTGGCAGCAAAGGTGGCCGGTGGCAGCCTGGGCTGTGTGAACAGGAGCAGAGATACAAATTGAAGGGACTCATTATCCTCTTCTACTCAGTACTTGTTAGACGATATCTGGATTACTGAGTCCAATGTTGGGAGCCCAAAACCACAGGGAAGTTGATAGACTGGAGGAACCTCTGTTGAGGACACCAAGATGATGGGGTCTGGAGCATCTGCCCTGTGAGGAGAGGCTGGGGTAGCTGGGCTTGCTCAGCCTGGAGCAGAGATGGCTTCTCCGAGGCTGTACTTTTTCTAATGTCTAAACCCTCCTTGCTCTTCCGTTGGAGGTCTCAATATACTGCTGAAGTTGGAATGGTAGGCACAAAGGATGGCATTCTGGTTCATAATAAGTTCCCTTTGAGCTGGTGATGTAAAGGATAAACTTGTGACATTTTTGTGGGGTTATGCAGTTAGAGAGGCTTCCTTCAACAACACTGAAATCTGACCTTGTATGATAATACAAGATATGATTTACCTTCCATGTCAGGCAAATATGGGAAGGTGATATTATGCCCACATTGTGGTCTGGACCATTGTATCCTGCTGCCTTAAAATCCTTCTGAATGTGTATGCATTGTATGTCTGTCTTTTCTATCTCAGACTGTTAAACAGACTTGGTATGCCCAGTGAAACAGCTAACATTCTAGTTGAGAGATGACTGTGTTTCACTGACATTAAAAACATTTTTTTTGTGTGTCAGGTGCCTTATTCTGCAAGATGCTAGGCGCTGTCAGGGAGGTGCCTTTAACTGCTGCTGGGAAGAGATGGTACTTGGCACTTTTGGTTATGGAGAAAATTTAGAACAAATTAAATTGTAAATATGTCCAGTATTAGTTAGAACATTTTTTTTTGTTTGCTTTTTTTAGTAGTTGAGTGCAAACTCTCAGAAAAAAATGCCGTGAGTGATAAGGCAGGACTCATGCAAAATAAGGAGTTCTCATGTTATCATGTGCATACTAATATTATAAAAAAACCCCAAATTAGATATTCAGTACTTATTTCACCCTGACACAAATTATGTGGTTTGAGAAATAGTAATGAATACTTTTTCATCTTCAGAGCGCTTTTAAATCGATGTGTTAGTCCTGGTCTGTTAGCACCGCTGAGCAATGTGCGGCCGGTTTCCTCAGTGGTGTCTTCACAGTGTACGTGTGTCAGGGGCAGATAGGATTGTTGGGATTGCAGTCTACGGGTAAAGTCTAGATGTTAGTGTACTGGGGAATTATTAAAGTGGACTTTGTTGAAAGTAAGTGTGCAGAGACTTAGTCTTGGAAAAGCTCATCTTTTGAAGAATGAATGTGAGTTCATAGAATAAAAAGAATTTCAGTGTGAGTAAAACACTGAGATAATTTAAAAGCAGTACTTCTTTCCTTCTTCTTATCTGAGACAGGGACATAAGAGAATGAGCAGTAAAACCAGATTCTTCACTTTAACTATAGCTCCTATCACAACAGGTAACTAATTAATGGAGGCTGTGTAATTAATTCCCACATATGCAGTTATTTTTCTGGTCGAATAACGGTTAGTGAGAGCCGCTTCTGTGCAAGAAGGATGTAAGCACTGGGGTGTGTACCTAGAGCAATTGGCATTGCTGAGACAGGAGATGAGAATGAATTTGACCATGATGGAGACTGGAGAAGCTGTTGAACCAGATCTGTCTTTCACTTTATTTGTATGAGCGGTAACAGGGACTTGCTGTCTAGGGCTGGAAGAAAGGTGCTTGGAAGCAACCTTCTGCTCTCTTACCTTAGATAATGCCAACACAATTCACCTCTCCTGACCCTCTAACTGCCTCTAGAATAGTCATTTGGCATCCCTTATTCAGCAGAAGACAGCAAATGCTGAGATCATTAGTCAGCTTGGAAGACTGTGAGCAGATGCTTTGCGCCGTGGTCCTGGTGCTTACACTGCTCACAGCAAAATGCTGACTGCAAGCTGTACGCTCAGCTCGGTGCATGTGATTTTTCTTGTATGAATACTGGAATTTTCCTCCTGTCAAGTCTGTACTAAAATGTAACACCATCTTCCTGCAATGGAAGGACTTGATTCTTCTCATCTCCTCGCTGAGTTGCTCTTGCTAAAAGTCTAGACATCAATAGAGCTGTTCCTGCTTTAATCCAGTGTAATTAAGGGAGCCGGGTCCACCACGTTCACATGCTGTAAACCATGTTTGATACCAGATCAATGGCACAGCTTTCCTTTGTGGTGACAGCTTCTGAGGCTGGACTATTTAATTTAGCTTTGTATCCTTTTCAAAATAGTCCAGGCAGCATTATGATGGACTCTGCTTTCTTTAATTGTGGGTGCACACTTTCACAGTGTCCTTCATAAGCATATCATCCAAAGGAAAAACAAGTGACAATATATTAAAGTTGGGAAAAAGAGAAGAGAAATCCTAGCTTCTAAAGGGAGCCTTTAGAAAGTTCCTAGTTGAAAATAAAATATTGCAAAGAATAAGCACTTGTATGTTTTATCCTGTTGACGCAGATAATGCTTTTAGCTGGCTAGCTCAACAGTGTTCAGAGCAGACTTGTGTTGTTAGTTTGAACTTATTTTAGAAATAAGGACAAGAAAAAGATTCATATGATGAAGTATACTATGTGGATGACTCCCCCATTTCTTTATTAGGTGACTATAAATTTATGCTGAGGTATGTTAGAGAGAAAGATTGTATTTGGAAAGATTTCTTATTTGACCTTGGATGAGTTTTTATTCTTTCTGTGCCTCAGTTTCCCGTCTGTAAATGTAGATAAAAGGTTTTGGTTTTTTTTTAATCCTTTAAACCATATGTCAGTGCTGTTCAGATTTTAACCTTCTCAAAGCAAAGACATTTTCATACCGTTTGTACATTCAGCATTTTGAGAATGACAGCCAAATCTTGCTTGAGACTGCTTTTAATTTAAAATAATTTAAAATAACTTGATTTCAATTGAGATGAGAGTGGCTACTTTGACTGAATTGCAGCTAGTCAGAATAAAGCAGCAGACTTCCTGGTAGTTCCAAATTAGAACTTTGGCAACAGGAAAATAAGGATGAAAACTTTTTTTAACTGTTAGCCTGTAATTTCTGCTGTAAAGAATTTATCTGAGGACATAAAGCCTTCATGACCTGTCTCCTGTTTATCTAGTGGGCAGATATTCCGAGCAGGTCTGTGCTACTGAGCTTTACAAAACAGCAAAGAAATGCCTAGCTTTCATTTTTCAACCCTATAGTGTACTTCTGATATACCACATGATGTTTTGCACATCCTAAATGCACAGACTAGATAAAAATTGTATAGCATTCACCTCATATCCTCCAAACACTCTTTTCAAACACTGCACACAATCACTGTAGTCTTTGTGGACGTGAGCTGTTTTTCACTCTTACTTTAATCCTTCACAAAACAAAGAAAGGGACTTTCATGAAGGGAGTTACCTGTTTTCTTTTAAATGCCATGGGTATTTCCCTTGGAGCCTCTTTGCATCTTGCTAAGGAACTCTGTAATCTGGCATAATTTTGATCATAAAACTAATGAAAAGTAACTTAAATTCATAAATATCTATAAAAAAATCGTTTGTACAAAATTTGCAAAGCAGAAGTAGATGTTCTTACCCAGTCGTTAACAACATGGAAGAATGTTGTCTTTGAAAGCCT